TATACTTTTATTGAAAATCAAAACCAGATACGGCGCTAAAGTTCGGATAAGTGATCCGCAGACTTTCACGGATAGTCCTCAAAGGTCCTCAGTTGATTTGACCTTGATTTCTTTAAAAACCTTTATTATCTCTAAAGGACTAGTATAATGAAAACTCAAGTCGCATTCGCATGATTTAACATTTTCTCTAAGCAAAGTTGCCGATAGTCTGGCCGATGATTTTAAATGAGCCGTTGTTTTGACAGGTATATTAGCAAAAAAAGTCTCAAACTCCTGAGCTAACCTGTGCTTGACGAAATCTGTCCCCTCTCTGTGTTTAAACAAAAAGCCGAATGTTTTAATTTATTCCTACCTGTCTCATTCTGTATTATTTTCCACGTAGCCTTTATCTTATCTTCAGCTGATTTTATTTTATTACTGATGAAAAGACGCTTTGCGGTTTTGCATACTATTCTAAATGTCTTTGAGTACAATTTTACATGTTGATGAAAAAGAGGGTCGCAATTGTATGGTTTCATGCCATAAAGTTCAAAAAGTTTATCTCTACTCTTACGAATACCTGCGGTAGCCCAATCGCTAAACTGAAACTTAGCATAGACGTCTTTATATTTCATTGGCAAAATATCTTGAAATTCCCTATTTAACACCGTAAAAAATTTTTCGTATAACCTGCTTGGATTACTTACATCCAAATTTTCTATACTTAATTTAGATGCTAATGAATCATTAAGTTTCTCTAAATTTTTGTTTGTTATATGTCTAAACTTTATTTGAATTTTTTGAAGAGGCAAATAAGAGCTGTAAGTAACCACAAGACCACTGTGGTCAGAAGGTAAACTGTTTATAACTTTTTTTTCTAAATAGTTGCAGTTACTAAAAATGTTATCAATACATGTGGCTGTGGAGGGTGTTATCCTAGTCGGTTCTAGAAAAACATTTTTTAAATTAAATGATTCAAACAAATTTAATAGCTCCATGCCACTTGTATTGTTCTCCAATAAATTAATATTAAAATCGCCACATACAAGTACTGATTTATGGCTAGAACATACTTTTCTCAAAACATCTTCCATTACAGAATCAAACAATGCAAGATTCTGATAATTAGGTGGTCTATATACACAAACAACAACATGTCTATCCAGCTCAACACAGGACAACTCAAGAACATTATATTTACGCGGGTATTAACGCGGAAAATTATAATTTGAATACCTTGGTAGGCTTGACGTTTCGACCCGGTTGCACAGGTCGTGGTCACAAGCAGACTGAAGACGCGATGTCACAGCTCCCTGCATTCGGGTGATGAATCTTCATCTACCCCCTTATTTTCATTTTCTACCATATTAGGCCGTCTACACACTACGCTGATTATATCCACAGATGTGTTAACCGACTTTGAAGGAAAGCGAGGTTGTGTTTTGCGAAGCACTGGATTCCACGTCGACGACAATTTAAAGCCGTCCTCCCGATTGAAATTATTTGGGCATTTCTTTATTTCAACCGCTTCACGCACAAGTCTTGTATGGTAGTGGCGATCAGTGGAGAGAATTTGCGGTCGGTGGAATTCTACCCAGTGATTAGAACCAGCCTGGAGCAGGTGTTCTGCTATCGCTGATTTGTTGCTCTGTCGGTTTTTGACTGCGGCGATATGTTCTTTGAGCCTCTCAGCAATGGTCCGCTTCGTTTGCCCAATGTAGGAACTACCGCAGCTGCAGTTGATCTTATAAACACCTGGGCTTTGTAGCGGCAGTACATCCTTCGCCGTGCCTACCTTATCATGAAGTTTAGCCTCAGGTGTGTAGATCGTCGGGATCGAAAACTTTTTAAGGACGGATCCTATCTTGTCTGTCACACCCTTGATATAAGGCATGAAGGCAGGTTGTCTGCTCACGTTTGGATGTCTGGCTCTCTTCAGCGGTCGCAATAGTCGCCCATCCCCTACACTATATCCGTTCTTTTTAAGTACCTCCTGAACATGGTCTAGCTCTTGCCCCAGATGTTCAGGGTCACAGAGGTCATATGCTCTGTTTTTTGACCTGTGCAACCGGGTCGAAACGTCAAGCCTACCAAGGTATTCAAATTATAATTTTCCGCGTTAATACCCGCGTAAATATAATGTTCTTAAGATGAAACGCGAAAGTTTAAAAGTTAGTACAGGACAACTCAATAGTGTGTTCAACTGACAGTGCTACAATATCTTTCCTTTCTTTGGACTAAATGCCATTTTTAACTAAAATTAAGGACCCGCCGTGTAACATATTCTTTCTACTAAAATTACTTATTACAGTATAATTTTCAAAATTGAAAGATATTAATTGGTCCTCTTTCAACCAATGTTCTGCTAAACAAACTATATCAAATTGTGTTTTCTCAAGAAACATTTCTATTTCAAATATTTTAGAGGAGCAGCCCTGAATATTAATATAAAATAAGATTAAATTGTGCTGCCCCTGAGCCTGTGTAACAACATTAGATATGAGTTTTTTTTTTGCCAGAATATACCTTACTACTAACATTATATATGATGGTATGTTCTGTTGTCTTAAAATCTAGTTTAAATCTATCACTGTGTTGTTAGGTAGCCTAGACAGCACAGCTTCGTCCCTAAAACTAATATCTGTTATATTTTTTATAACAGAGTTAATATTGAATGCTATTAGCATAGCAAGTGTACTTCGATATGTTTTTGAGAGGGATATGCCTCTCTCTGTCAATCTAAAATCACTAATAAATTTATTAGTGTCAAAAAATATAAGTTTGTCACTATGACAACATGTCAATTGGTGCAGTGTACTGTTAAGTACACCTAAATGTCTATTTTTGGAGTCTGTTAAGGTACTTGAATAGGGAAATGCACAAAGTATTATTTTTTTAATAAAGTGTCCACACCGTTTAAAATGTCCCTTTTTTTACATCCAAACTGTTACCTACTATTAAAACTAATATTGATTTTTCATTATATTCAGTCTGAGTTATTTTTTCAATAATCTTATTGTAACTCAGACTATGATAACTATTGTTAATGTAATTATGGTCTAAGTGACCATATATCATGTTACCTAAACCAGATGTAAGCTAGTCCCCATATATTAATGCTTTATATTTTAAATTACTACTATTACTACTACCAACAATTCTCTGTGGGTGTGCTACTATTGAGGTGGATTCAAAAGAAGGCCCAGGAGACTGAGGTTGGTTCATACAACTGCAGACAATATTATTTGTTAACGACTCATATCTCTCAGCGTTGTATTTCACCATGTCCATCAGCTCCCCAGCCTCAAGCAGGCGTTCGCTTAATTGCTGCTGGGATTCCTCATACCTCTCGAAAATATCCCTCAACATACCCTCTTTTATTGATAAGTCACCCTGAAGGCTTCTTATATTATTATTATATATTTCCCTATTGCTATCCATTTGGGTAGTGCAAGATTGGAGATCTTTAACTAAATTAATTCTTTCTTTTCTAAGTCTTAGATTCACTTTTATTAAATTGTGTTTTTTAAGTGATCTTTGTGTTTTCCTTAAAAATTTATTATTTTTTATATATTTTTTAAGTTTATTGTGAGATTGAAAGGGACATCTATGCACGGTGTCATCACCAGTCAGGTCTATTGTAATTGGCTCTGGTTCCTCACACTGTAACCTACAGCCTACCAGTTCCTCATACAATGTGTGATTGTTTTGTACAACATAATTTGTACACATACATTTCTGCGAAGAAGAAACTAAATTATGGGCATCACACAGTTCAGACGACCTTTTAAGGATTAGGCATTTGGAGCTTTAGGGATTGGGGAAGGGTCCGGGGAGGGGAAGGATTGGGCCTCCGGTAACCTCACTCACACGGCGAAACACAACGCTGTAGTTGTTTCACGCCGGTTTTCTGTGAGGCCGTGGTATCACTCCGGTCGACCCGACCCATTCGTGCCGAATCATGGCTCTCCCACACTTACACCTATAAACTGTAGTTGTATTTTAACCAATTTTTTTACCCTACAATATAACCTTGGACACGCGTGCCATTCATAGATGACACGAAATAATATTTTAGACACAGACCACAAAATAACCTGTTTGAAATCAACAAGGTCAGAATAAAAAAAAAATTGTATATGAGGTATCATCATCATCATCATCATCATCATCATCATCATCATCATCATCATCATCATCATCATCATCATCATCATTATCATCATCGTCATCATCATCATAATCATCATCATCATCATCATCATCATGTCCATCACAATCATCATCATCATCATCATCAATATCATCATCATCATCATAATCATCATCATCATCATCATCATCATCATGTCCATCATCATCATCATCATCATCATCATCATCAATATCATCATCATCATCATCATCATCATCATCATCATCTCTCCTTACCCGATATCCTAACCCTGAGCCTTCCAGCAAAGTGCTTAGAGGATTCAGGGCGAAAAAAAAACATAACGGACTGTCACTCTGGAATATACCACGCTCTATCCTAATGGGTTCGTCACTCACACAGATCTGTCCGCATCCTGGATAGCGGAGGACTGTTTTCCCCTGTCTCATACATGACCTCAAGAAGGTACGCTGAGTTGGGTCAACTTTGTACAACTCCAACACCCTCATGAGCCACGTATGTGGAAAGGAGTGATATGCCTTCTTATAATCTATCCAGCATGGAGACAAATTCTTGTGAAACCTACGAACCTGCTGGCAAGAAAGAAGGTTGGTATCACGGGACCCATTCCAACATCAATTTTGAGAGGTAAACATGATATTATTCTCTCTTTCTATCAGTCTTCAATATTGTAATTAAAGACAATAATAATGCTCACTTACATTATTATTACGTCACATTATTCTACTATTTTAGAACTTCTACTAAACAACACCTACGACAATTGAATCCACCAAAGCGTCTAACAAAAATTTATAGGCCTTCAAGGACATATACCATAAAATCATATGGAAGTTAAAAAACCGTCATGGAGCCCCCAGCAAAAATTAATTATGAAAATAAATTGGTTATTTTCATTAGGATTAAACCTCTTACACCGCTGCATGCCTGTCAGAAACTTCCTTTGGTACTTTATTCACAATAAGTATCATGTTTCGTTCTTCTCCATAAACGAAACATTTTCAAGAAACATGTCGTAACAGCATTAATTACTTACAACGAGAGCAAATCTTCCGTGTTTCATATTCGTAATTCTAGGCATCAACATTATTTATTACACTGACTAATTATGGGCTTATATTATTTTGTTCGTTGGCAGATGTTAATATTATTATATCTACTGTTACTATAGGTATTTTTTGTTGCTGAGTGGAACGTTTCGAACGTAGTATGTATTGATATTGAAAAATCCTTTATCTGAGCCAGTAAATAAGTGTGTCAAAGTTGCTTGAGTCCTATTCCGGAGTGTATCTTATGCCTGTGCTAAATTTTATCCATATCCATTTTTTTTATGTAATAGATCGGCAAACGAGCTGGCGGATTACCTGATGGTACGCAACCAGCGCCGCCCATGGACATCCGCAACGGAGGAGTAACGAGTGCGTTACCGACCTCTTAGGGATTAGGGTTTTGGAGATTAAGGGATTGGGGAGGGATCGGGGGAGGGGAAGGATTGGACCTCCGGTAACTTCACTCACACGGCGAAACTCAACGCTGTGGTTGCTTCACGCCGGTTTACTGTGAGGCCGTGGTATCACTCCGGTCGAACCGACCCGTTCGTGCCGAAGCATGGCTCTCCCACACTTTACATCTGGCCGGTTTGGCGTGATTGAGTTATAAACTTCCAAATATCCAAACATCTTAACTTTCGCATTTATAATATAAGTAAGATACAAATACAGTTGTATAAGCAGCACAGATTAATAAACTGTATACTCAACACGACAAAATTTCGCAAAGCTTTGATTCAAATGGGTACAACTTGATGCTTATAGGCAGCTTACAAAGCTGTATTTAATCTTGGGTTTTCAGTCATAAAAGGCAAAATAAAGGTTACATTTTATTTTCAAAGAAAATCCGTTTAAGTGCTCTTGTACTTAATAGGCATTCTTGGTTTTAAGTGAAGAATGTGGGTTAATACAAAAATATCATAGGTAGACGATACGATCAAAACCTTTTCTGTGCGTGTTTGCGACGTACGCAACTTCCCTAACGTACGTACCTACCTACTTATTAAGGATTTCATATAAACTCTTCCCCCCTTATTACAAAACAAGGTTTATCTTTAGTCCAGGTTTAAACAATTGAATCGGGTTTTGAATTTTGAATCTTATTGTCATCTACCTTCAATTCGAAATACGAAAACTGACTCAATGATTTAGTCCTAGACTTAAATAAAACCTTGTTTTGTAATAAGGCCGTTCAAGATTAATTTCGCGTATTATATCAGAAAAGACACCGTATCTTTTGTTATTTGTAGCGTTAGCATGCAAATATAAAACTGTAGCACCGTAGCTTCTGAAGGAATAAACTAATTTGAATAATGAATGCAAGTATTACGTCACCTCGTGTTCTTTTTTACAAATAATAGAAGGGCTTATAGAAAGACTGTTAGTAGGGATGAATAACCATCTTAGAATAGATTTTTAAATTGACCAGTTACCTTGCTTTATGTATATTATGTACTTATAATTGTGTGTCACGGTGGCCTAGAGGCGGTGTCGAAACCTGTATTGTAATTAATTTATAAGATTGTTTAGACATAACCTTTTGAGGAAATCTGGACTTATATTTTATAGTCATAAGATAGAAATTGCCATTTGTTCTTGAGTAAGTGTGACGATTAATTTTAATTCCTCTTAATAGTTGTTTGCTTACCAGTATGTACTTAAAGGCTGATGATGTACTTAATGATATTCTAAATATGTACAATCACAAATACCCTATCTAGAATATCATCCATATTATTTCCTACTAAGTAACGTTAGCGCATTTACAGTTGGGTTTTGATTACTGTTAGTTGTTGATAATAGTTTGCAGTTTACATTAAACCACATTTAAGTTCTGTAACGGTTTATTTGTAACATAGTTAATATAGTTTAACAGGAAACATAGTTATGTTTAGTTCAGTTATCTGAATGGTAGTACTTTTGTTATTAGTTTGTTACCGATCCGTGTTTTGGCACGTGATGAAGTTGCCAGCGAAGTTAAAGAACTTTCTTCGCCCTTTTCCTGACCACATTGGAGTGGGTAATTAGTCTTATTGATTGTGTATATTATTGTATGGCCGTGAAAGTTTCGCAAAACTAATGCTTCATAAAACTTACACCTTCTTCAGTTATTATTTTAAGTTAGGCGTTTAAGAACTGATAGTCGGTTGGTAATCATTTGGCATCAAGAATTGTATACTCAACAATATTTTGAGATCTACAAATGGGCGGGCTCAATCAAGAGAATTCATGGTTTTTCAGAAAACCGGCGCAAAACAATGTTTGCAATATCTTTGGCCGGTCGAAGGTAAACACCAGAGACACACTCCTCTCCCCCATTCCCAAATTATCCGGTTTCTATGCGTTGCCGGCCTTTTGGGAGTTACTCTTCTGATATTTCGGTTGTCCCTGGGTAATACGGGCCAAGCGCAATAATGTTACCCGGCTCGGCTTAAAGCAGGAGATGGAACGGAGTCTAATACTTCCTTACGCCCCAGAGCAATAGACGACAAATGTTGTTATCTCACCTCAAAAAGAAAAACTAGTACAAGATTAAATAGTACGCTACATCATTTTTTTACTCAAAACCCTATACCACAGCTACCATAGCAAAAAGATTGCCGGAAAAACAACTCAAAGTGCCCAAGGGAAATCAAAATGATATTGCGGATCTATAAACAAACCTACATACATTGTATTTTATACGCCTTTCTGCTAGTTTGTAAGTGAGCGATCGCAGATTGTTTCCTTGTCAAAAGGCACATAAAAATGTTCTGACAACTTACATTCTGTTAGGAGCCTGACCATAAGTGCTTGAGCATAAGATTTACCTTATGGGTGTGGATTAAATAAATCATAACTATGTATATCTGCATGTAATAACATTTTATAAATTGTGGTAAGTCTGAGAAGAAACTTTCAAAGAGAAGATGGATCAACTGATAGTGAGCAATTGGCGAGGTCCATTGACACCTATAACACTAGAGGTGTGCGGTGTCAGCTTTTAAGGGTCTGGAAATTGGGTATTCGGAGATTGTCGATGATGGAAGGAATACGAGGGCCTACGATATCTTCAGTCACATACCGAAACACAAAACAAATGTCTCTTATCACCGTTTTTCTGTGAGATCGTGGTATCTCTGCAATTGAAACGCCTATACGTACCGAAGCATGACACTGACACTTAAATTTTACTGACTTTGGCCGATTGGCTATCATATTTTTTCTACCTGCATTTTTTTTACTTGGATGTCATCTGTTGTACAGTCATTTAACATTTTCTTTTTTTATTGTTTGTATTGTTTTCAATGTAACATTTTGTTGCCATGAGGGTCATAAATTATCTATGGCCATCATAAAATCTGGCCAAATAAAAAAGTTCTGAATAAAATCTAAATGAATCCTCAGATTTATTAGATCCATTGACATAACGTTGTGTTTCGCCGTGTGAGTGAGGTTACCGGAGGCCAAATCCCGCCCCTTCCCCTATCCCTTCCCGATCCTTATATCCGCAACCCCTATCCCCAAAAGGCACCCGGCAACGCACTCGTAACTCCTTTGGTGTTGCGGGTGTCCATGGGCGGCGCCGATTGCTTACCATCAGGTAATCCGTATGCTCGTTTGCCGACTTATATCATAAAAATAATCTCTGTACAAAGGACATGGCCAACTTTTGTATGGGCGTTTGCATAGTTATTGAATTCAATGTACATCAATGATTTTTGGTGTTTACATTCGTGAATATTGTTAAATTAAATTGCAATAAATAAAACACATGAAGAACTCGTAATTATAACAAACAAGACGAAAATAGTTTCACTAAACCTTTAGTCAGAGTACTGGCCATAAGTGCACGAAATAAGATTTTGCTTTTAAAAACCATGGCGTTTAAATTATTTATTTATAAAATAAAACAAAAGAATATGTATAAAGAATAATGATTTATTTATTTAGGAGAACAAATAAAATAAAACTACGTAATAATTCTTTTATATTTTTATTATAAGTGTATTTTATTAAGTTTGTGTATGGAATGTACGTTTCTGTAATATATATTCTGTATAATTGGGTAATAATATGGTAGTACTTTCCATTTCAAGCGGCCTGCTTAAAACAGGTGGTAATGGTGGTGGCTCTGGTGAGCTAACCACTTGAATATAAGGGGCTGCTGCATTGTTGTCCGAACCCAATTCCTGTAAGTTTCGTGATAAGTCCTGCACTGTCTGTCTATTTGCCCGCATATAGCACACATGACAAACATAGTTGCTTCTTGAGGTCTGAAAATAAACCCCAGTTAGAATAAACACATGTATTCAAGTTTTATGTTATTTTACAGTGAGAAGTATTATGTTACAACATGCCTACTTTAAAGAAGTCTATCCAAACATGGAAAATACATAAAGATAGATATTATAATCACACATACCTACTATGAGTACTTTTTTTTATAGATTAATATAGATAAATACAAGTACATATATAAAACAGTGAATAAAAAACAAAATGCTTACCACATTAATAGTATTTTGTGACATTAGGCCAGCTAGCAATGGAGAGTCCATACTGACATTATGGTGTCTTATTTTTCGAACCGATTTTCCACGACCAAGGCAAGCCATGTTATGCCCCACTAGTCTCTAATGTTCACCAGCCTCAGTATTCAATAATAAGAAGCGTGGTTGACAAATGAATGTCCCCAGAGGCAACTAAAAAAAAGATGCACTATTTAAAATCGCATACCATTATAAAACATAAAAAACAGACTAAGTATTATACTATTCCGACTTCATACCTGGGTTTGAGCTATGTTTAACCAATGTGAAAGTTTTGTTTGATGGTGTGCAGAAAGCGAGGATATAAGACGCCTCTGCAGCCTTTGTACGCCTATTGCGCAGTAGATGCATCTCATCGTAATCCACAAAACAAATCCAAAACGCAAAACACTTACTAGTATTATTAGCAAGGTTAACAAAAACACGCTGTCAAAAGTGTCGAAAACGTTCCGTTTCGTTTAAGTGTTTTTTTTGGTGAATTGGATAAAAATAAAACATAATATTATTATAATCTACTATATAAAAATAAGTCCGGTATTCCTCCCTGACGCTATAACTCCAGAACGCACGAACCGATTTCCACGGTTTTGCATTCGTTGGAAAGGTCTCGGGCTCCGTGAGGTTTATAGTAAAGAAAATTCAGGAATAATCAGGAATAATTCAACAGAAAAGTGGGTAAATCGTTTTTCACATACAGCGCCATCTCTGATACATAGCATGTACTACAAACCAATATCCAACACTTCAAGTAGATGGCGCCGAGTGTTTGACAGCTACTCATTGTCTCTGCTCAGTTAATTTCATTCAAGCTCAGTGTAAATTATGTGGATCGTGCATTTGAGGTTAAATTCAACACTCTGTCCATTGTCCAAAATGCCTAGACAACGACGTGCGAGCATCGGCCGCCGCATAAGACATGCAAGCCAGCAACAAGTGTATTCAAGGAACTTAAGCGAAGAAAGACAAAATATAATAAGAGAAAATGACCGATTAACTTAAGCGAAGAAAGACAAAATATAATAAGAGAAAATGGTACCCCAACAGGTGAACATGTGCGAAGATTCAATGCACCCACCGTTAATGATGTTGCTGCAATTATTGTTGGCGATCCAACTAAATCACGAGACATTGTCGTTCAGCGAAGAAGCAATATCATGCATCGTGTAAACGAGACACATCGTTTGTACGATGCGTTACAATATCCAATCATTTATTGGCAAGGGCAAGACGGATACGACATCACGTTGAAGATGGTCGATCCAATTACAGGTACAATATTTACACGCTAATTATTTCCATTATTACTATTATTGGTTTCCATTAACAATTCATTTAATTTTGCATTTTCAGGAGTATCAACGAATAAAAATCTAAGCGCAATGAATTACTATGCGTATCGTATGATGATTCGTACACATGAGGAGAATGTCATTTTGAAGTGCCGTCGGCTATTCCAGCAATTCGCTGTCGACATGTATGTCAAAGTCGAGACCGAACGTTTAGCGTTCATCCGATTCAATCAGGCAAAGCTACGATCTGAGGACTATATACACTTGCGTGATGCTATTCATTCAGATGGTGATGTTCAGAATATTGGACGACTGACGATTCTCCCATCAACTTATATCGGAAGCCCACGCCACATGCACGAATATGCTCAAGACGCTATGACGTACGTGCGAAATTATGGAACTCCGGATTTATTTATTACGGTCACATGCAATCCGAAGTGGACGGAAATTGAACGCGAGTTGGAACCGGGTCAAAAAGTGCAAGATCGCCATGACATAATCGCCAGAGTATTTCAGCAAAAACTCAAGGTTATGATGGATGTGCTTACTAAGTATCGAGTTTTTGGTGACACACGTTGTTATATGTACTCGGTGGAATGGCAGAAGCGTGGACTACCACATGCTCATATCCTAATTTGGTTGCTGAACAAATTACATTCAAATGAAGTGGATGACATCATATCAGCTGAAATTCCTGATCCAGTCACTGATCCCCGTCTACACGACATTGTGACGACGCAGATGGTGCATGGACCGTGCGGTGCATTAAATCCATTATCGCCTTGCATGGCTGATGGAAAGTGCACAAAACGATATCCGCGACCGTTAGTTGCTGAAACAGTCACAGGGAACGATGGATATCCAGTTTATCGTCGGCGTTCAAAAGAAGATAACGGTCGAACTATCAAAGTTAAAGTTCAAAATCAAGAGATTGAGATCAGAAATGAATTCATTGTACCATATTGCCCGCTGCTATCACGAATTTTCGAAACACATGCAAACGTTGAGAGTTGTCATTCGGCCAAATTAATCAAATATTTGTGCAAGTACGTCACAAAAGGCAGCGACATGGCTGTGTTTGGTATTGCGTCGGAAAATGCGAATGATGAAATCAGCAACTTTCAAATGGGCAGATACGTCAGTACTAATGAAGCACTGTGGCGATTATTGTCATTTCAAATTCATGAAAGATATCCCACAGTTGTACATTTAGCAGTGCATTTGGAAAATGGCCAAAGAGTTTACTTCACTGAGGCTAATGCGGCACAACGAGCTGAGAGACCACCATCGACAACATTAACTAGCTTCTTTGCAATGTGTGAAGCAGATCCATTCGCAGCGACGCTGATGTACGTTGAAATGCCCAAGTATTACACTTGGAATCAATCAACAAAGAAATTCCAACGTCGCAAACAAGGAACCCCAGTTCCAGACTGGCCACAGGTGTTTTCAAGTGATGCACTAGGTCGTATGTACACTGTTCATCCTAGAAACGATGAGTGTTTTTATTTGCGACTGCTGTTAGTAAATGTACGTGGACCAAAATCATTTGCGCATTTGAAAACTGTGAATGGCCACCAATGCCAAACATATCGAGAAGCATGTCAACTATTGGGTTTGCTGGAGAACGATTCTCATTGGGATTTAACACTTGCAGATTCAGTTGTTTCATCAAATGCGTACCAAATACGAACGCTGTTCGCAATTATCATCACCACATGTTTTCCTTCACAACCAATTCAGTTATGGAACAAATACAAAGACGCCATATGTGAAGACATCTTGCATCGCTTGCGCATTCAAACGAATAATCCTGACATCCAAATAACCGATGAAATCTACAATGAAGGATTGATTCTGATTGAGGATCAATGCTTGACTATTGCAAACAAGCTACTGATTGAAGTAGGAATGATTGCGCCAAATCGATAGATGCACGATGCATTCAATCAAGAATTAAATCGAGAGCTACAATACAATGTTGATACATTGCAGGAATTCGTTAGAAATAATGTTCCGTTGCTGAATGAACAGCAAAAACAAGTATACGAAACATTAATGCAAGCGGTGGACAATAATACTGGTGGTCTATTCTTCCTGGATGCACCTGGAGGAACAGGGAAAACATTTGTCATTTCATTGATTTTGGCCACTATTCGATCAAGATGTGACATAGCTTTGGCTTTAGCATCATCTGGAATTGCGGCGACTCTTCTAGATGGCGGTCGTACTGCACATTCTGCGCTTAAGTTGCCACTCAATTTAAACACAATTGATACTCCAACATGCAATATTTCCCGATCCAGTGCAATGGGAAAATTGTTAATGCAATGCAAGCTCATTGTTTGGGATGAGTGCACAATGGCACATAAGAAATCACTTGAAGCACTTAACTTCACACTGAAGGATCTTCGGCGAAATAACAACATCTTTGGCGGCTTGATGATATTGTTGGCAGGCGATTTCAGGCAGACGTTGCCAGTAGTTCCCCGTGGAACGCCTGCAGATGAATTGAATGCTTGCCTGAAGGCATCACCTTTATGGAATAACGTAAAAACATTATCGCTAACCACTAATATGAGAGTTCAACTTCAAAACGATCAAAGTGCTACACAATTTTCCAAACAATTGTTAGATGTTGGAAATGGAAAAGTCCAAGTTGATGCGACATCTGGATTAATTACTCTTACCAACGATTTTTGCCGATTTGTAGACACTCAATTAGTTCTTATTGAAAATGTTTTCCCAAACATTAGTGAGAATTATAAGAATTATGCTTGGTTAAGTCAACGAGCAATTCTTTCCGCAAAGAATAATGATGTCCACGCACTGAATTTTACCATTCAACCAAAAATTGCTGGCGATTTGGTGACATACAAATCCGTTGATTCAATAACAAATCCCGATGATGTAGTAAATTATCCAACGGAGTTTTTGAACTCTCTGGAGATACCAGGATTTCCACCACACAACTTGCAACTCAAAGTTGGTACAGTTATTATGATACTGCGTAATTTGAATCCACCGCGACTTTGCAACGGTACTCGACTTTCGGTAAAGAGACTTATGCCGAATTTGATCGAGGCAACCATTATTAACGGAAAGTACGCAGGTGAAAATGTATGTATTCCTCGAATACCAATGATTCCAACTGATCTTCCGTTTGACTTCAAACGATTGCAATTCCCAGTTCGCCTTGCGTTCGCAATGACAATTAATAAGTCGCAAGGCCAATCGCTTAGTGTTTGCGGGATAAATTTAGAAAATCATTGTTTTTCACATGGGCAGTTATACGTTGCGTGTTCACGAGTTGGGAAACCATCCGCTTTGTTTGTGTTAACGTCAGACCAAAAAACAAAAAATGTGGTTTACCAAAGAGCACTACAATGAAACGGATAATTTGCGGACACGTATAACGCTTCGATTCAGTATTTACTTTGGATTTGTAGCGATATCAAAGAGTAACTTTCATTTACTTAGGGAAGTTCAACTAAATAACACTTCATTTTAGTAGGTAATCGAAATGTATTTATTACTGTTGTGAAATGAAATAAATATTTTCCTTTTCAAATATATAATAAAAATTTTTTTTTTCTTTATCTTTTAATCACCAAACAAAATGTTACATAAAACGAATCTGGTGGCGAAACGGAGTTCGCCGGGTCTGCTAGTATGAGTATATTTTAAAATGCAACTGAAATCAATGAATACAGTTTTGTATGAATAAAATGTTCCTAGTGTAATGCATTTGTCGATCATATCACACGTTTTCTACGAGTGTAGTTTAAGACATGTGGTTTGGAATTCGAAAGTCTTTTTATTTATCTTTCTCTATGGACTATTATGGCGAAACTTGACAAACGATAAGTTGATTTTGTTGAATTACTTTTACATTTTTTTAATAATAATTGTCAGGTCTGGAGAGGCTAAAAACTACGTAATAATTCATATTTCTATTTGTATTTTACAGTGTATTAATTTTCTTCGTGTACGTGGAATGTACTTTTTTGGCCATGTCCTTTACTTCTCAAACGAAACAGAGAACTGATTGCTACTACTATTTAGGCTATTTTTCAGTTTCTTCATATAAGAATCTTACTGAACATCCTTGCTTATATTGTTGTACAGATATACCAAAATGTAAGGATATTCCCTTGGTTTATGGTATGGCTTATGGGTGGTAGCTACACTATAATGATGTTCCTAATGTCTTTTATATGAAGCACGTTTCCGATAAGTATTTGGTCCAGCCATTTGTAGACCAAATATGTGGATAATCTCACTTGGAGCCTCGCAGCTTGCAGAGTTATAAATAATATGTTTTATTGGCTTCGACTTTTTGATTGGGTTTATCGTTTCCATACTATGTATTCCAAAAAGGTTTTTGTCTATGTTTGACCTATTATTTCCCAGTTATGGCTTTTCAATACTTTTGTAACTAAAACTTTTATTTTGACTCTCAAAGGATCTGTAAAGTCAAGTTCCACTGACAGCTATCCAACAATAATTATCCATGTCGTTTAATGAATTTAAAAAAAGGTAATTCGCGAATTGTATTACTATTTTGTAAGGGGAATTATCCAATTTCATTCTCTCGCCAAGGGTGAGGCAAGAGAGACAGACTCTTACTGACTAAAACCACCCCCGTTGCTTCTCCTGCTGTAAGCTGAGCATTGACACTCTCTTGTGGATTATTAGGAATTTTAGGATAGGGGATTTGTGGATTAAGGATGGGAAGGGGAAGGAATGGGCCTCCGGTAAGCACACTCACACGGCGAAACACAACGCAAGTGTTGCTTCACGCTGGTTTTCTGTGAGGCCGTCGTATCACTTGTCGAGCCGGCCCATTGGTTCTCTTACACTTAAACTATCTACATACTTACTTGCATCTCACCAGGATATCTCCGCTTGTCGACTGTGTGGTCGCTTCCTTCCATCATATCCGCACCCCAATGAAAATGTATTTGGGATAGGACATGCTTCTCCAGAAAAGGACCACCTTCCAAATAAGGACGTTCAGCCTTCCATTTCGATGATATTACCACTGGTAGAAATATTTATTTATGTAAGTATTTATAACAAATGCTGATTATTAATGCAAAAGATTTCAAAAGGTATAAGGGGATGTTATTATTTTGTAAACTGTCAGAAAGGACTGGGTATTCATTAGAATATTTAGTTATAACAAAAAGATATACCTAGTATGATTTTCATAAAAAAAATATATTATTACTTTTCAATTTTTTTACTTAAATGACCACCGGAATAAATACATCCAATGACTGACAAAAAGCTCTGATAAGTGCCCTTAATTCTTGCACTTCGAATTTGTTTTGGAGACATTTTCTTTGAAAATTTGCATTTGAAAACTTTGTTTATAATTCAGTCCTAATCATGGTGATCATTTACTATTTATGCCTATTATCTATACTTATAATAGTAGAGAGGTCAATTCTTCTCTTCTCTACTCTGTAGAGAGGTCAATTCTGTACATGAAATAAAAATAGCGGATAAAAATATTGTATTACTTGCAGAGTACCACTTTTCTGGCGAATAAAAATTGATTTGATTTTAAATATCTGATGGTAAGTTAAATATTACCCAATATATTAAAATAAACATTTTTTTAATATACATTAAAAAAATGTATAAATTTTATATGTATTCATAATTATTTCTCAACCTTCATCTTCTTAAATTTTTTTTCGAAACGAGTAATTATAATTCTTGTTGTATTTTTCCTGTACAATTATTTAGCAGCGCGCAGTTCCGAGAATTTGTCGAATGGAAAATTGAAAAATTACTTGGTAAAATATTGATGCGGATATTGTATCTTGTTCGAAGAAAATGTTAAAAACTAATTTATTTACCAGAAGTACACGTATTAATTAGCTGTTATCTCACATTTTGAATTTAAGATATTTTATTTTTATCATATTTATTCTGGTTAACAGGAATTGTAACAGTATCGTATCGAGCCTGTTCCTTGCAATAATTATGATATAGCCAACGCAAACCGCGTTGGCTAATCTCCATTCTTAACCTATGAGCTTGAGATTACAACTTGAAAGGATAAGGTTTATATAGTCTCTATTAAAAAACAGAAAACCGACGGGAAACAACCTCAGCGTTGTGTTTCGACGTGTGAGGGTCGTTACCGGAGGCCCAATCCTTCTACTCCCTCCATCGCTCCCCAATCTTTAAATATTCTCAAAATGCTACGCCTACGCACTCGTAACTCTTTTGGGGTCAATGGGTGGCGGCGACTGCTTACCATCAGCTAATACGTAAGCTCGTTTATCGACTTATAAAAAAAACATTAAATCTTTGATTCGATTCTAACAACACTCTCGGGAAGATTAAGATTAGTAGTAATGTAATCCTTCTCTATCATTACCGTATAAGATATATTATTATGTAGACATTATTCTTATTATATAGGCTTATACGAAAAGAAAAGGCCTCGCACGAAACCTAAACACAAATTTCAAGAACCAAGAAGTTTCTCTTAAATACAAAACAAGTTATACAAACAAGAAAGTTACTCACTCGTACTTGAGACGCTATTGTTGTGCCCATCATGTTTGGGCAGTCCGATCTGAATCCCGTACAATTACATGTTGCCAACATAAACATGATAAGCGCCCTTCAGTACCCAATTCTGTGGTAGCAATTTACTGAGGAATTAATCTAATGAACGATTCGTATTCCACCATAGTCTATTAATCTCGGGTTCAATATTAGCCTCGCATGAATGGATCTTCTGCGCCCGATTGTTGTATATATACGTCGGATATGTATTTGGTAACTACGTCATAGGAAAAGTGTATCGGGAAAGGGTTTTTTTTTCGTTAGGGGAATATCATCAAATGACTTCTCCCGCCCAGGGCCGGGCAGCAGGGAGTGTCAGACTCTTACTGACTAAAAACCCCCCTGTTCCTTCTCCTGCTCTGTGCCGAGGTCGCGGTGCCTCATTGCGCTTACCCCGCAACCCCGGCACCGGGAAAGGATGGAATGCCATACACCAATAATGTTCAGAAGTCGTTCAGGATCTCATATTGTTGTGTGATTACACGATAGAGACCGGTCAGTACCTCAGATATGTTTTAAACTTCTATACTGCGATATGATTGCCTCAAACCTATTTTCAGGCGTGGATATTATGCCCATAACCAATACCTATTTCTTCATCCTAACAATTACTTAACACCATAAAACAAAATCTAGTACAATTTATAGCGAAACACTTGAAAAGATCAAACTGTCGAACCCGTTTGTGCAAAATAGGACCCTAATAAATTATTCAAATAAATCACGCACATTCAATTCATACGAATCCTTTCTAGAAGGTTCCATGTCACTCAACACTCGCCTTTATTCGTGAAGCTAGGCAGCACGTTAATAAATGCCCGTATTATACTAACTAGCTTGAAGTAGCCCGTTAGCTAGGACTAAAGGTTGAAAGTAAAGGACACGTAGGCATAATATTTAACGACACCAACCTACCCCCGTAGGCAATTTTGCCCAGTAACATGCCTGTTAATTAAAGTTTTAGGAAACATCAAGGGTTTTGTTAACTAGGTCGTGAGCTGTTATTAGTAGTCCTACTTCATTGTTTTTGCTGTTTGGCAAAATGTGTAATTTATTGTTATATTGATCAAAAACTTGATCTACCAAGTTGTGTTTTGAATTCAGTTCGTTATAGTATTAATTATCTACATCAATATCTTTGGGTTCGCTCTTTTGAATAGTAAATGTCATTGTAATGAATATTGTTTCAAAATTGAAGATTTTTATGATTTGCCAATAATGTTGGCGCTATATAATACTCTTACACAAAACGCACAACTTAAGACTAAGAGTTTACTGCATAAAGATTACTTAAACTTCTATTCTCTTCTTAGATTCTACAAAGATTCAGCGTTAAAGTACAGCATTACTTACAAGTATATCCAGTATTAGTGAGCTTCACTTTGTGGGGGTAAACATCGAAGTTGTACCATTTTAGTTCTGGACATTTGAAGAAGGTACATCCAGTGATGGATACATCTATGGGAGTAGGTAGATGACCTTCCAATACATGCCAATACTGAAGCCATTCTACTGTTCCCTCTTCAGGTATATCTTCTACAACTTCTTCTGTTGGCTTTTCTTCTTCAACTAAGTAAAGGTGAAAATGATTGATGATGGATTAAATCCCTCCAATAACCCAAACATTGGTGAAATCTAGTAAACTAGATCAGCAGAATTCACGATCCTTAACATATTGTAAGTATGTTACATTTTATCGTTGATCTATATTGTACTTACGCAAAAATTAAGTATCTACCTACTAAGAATAGTATTGTTGTAATAATATGATCTTATCAAGTTTATAAAGTGGAAGAATATAACAATGAGTTGTCTTACAAAGTCAGCAGACAAAGTTTACAAGGAAAACACAGTTACCTAATTGAGTTGGAAGAATTCGGATGGACATTTTGAAAAATTAACTGAAATTTGGTTTCAAAATTCTTACTGGATATTAAAACATGATTTTAGATTATAAAAATTTGGAAAAAAGTGTAAAACCAGAATATCACAAATATTTACATCAAAATTATTATGACAAATGCTACGATCACGATGACATGACTATATTTCTGCAGATTATATATAAATAAATAAACATTTTGAAATAATAGTCTGTTATGAAGAGGCTTTAAATTTATACCATAAAACCTTTTTAAAACTTTGTCATCTTGACAATTAGACTGACCGACGTTGTTGAATAACATTCGTTTGTTGGTTTCTTTCAAAAACTATTAATCACCAAACCATTAAAAATGAAGGAGGGAGAAGACGATAGCAGTATACCAATTCACAAGTGGCCAGTTTTACCAGATCGAGAACTACAGATTTGGGAAAAATGGATTCAAATAAGAAACGATGAGGCGATTGCACTTGGAAATAGATTGAACAGACCACCAGCTGATCTAGCAATGAATTTAGTGCAAAAGGTTCGCAATGATAAAGAAAGGAAAGTAGCACTAGAACATGCTCAGATTGAAAGAAAAACTGGTGTAAGGGGTTCCCTATGGGATCGACCACCAAAACTGAAACAAAGATGTTATTGTGCACCAACTTATGAGATTCAAAGAACTGCTGCTGAAAAAGGTCGACCAAGAATAATAGAACATATTGGAGTTCCAGATTACATTCAACAAACTGAAATGGGAATAATTGGCGAGTCTAGGCGCAATCCATGCGTTCATTTGAACTCTGAGTATGAAATATACAGAGATTATCGTGAAGGACAGCTCACTGAGCAGTTAAAGAAAATTGACCCTTTTAGGTAAACAATTAATTACTTTGTTTAAGTTGTTTTGTTTTACAGGCGCCATTTTTACCAAACTATTATTTTTAATTTATTAGGTACTCGTCTCATTTTTGAACGTAAAGTTAAATATATTTTGACATAAGTTAATATAAACCTTTTTTTCAGACCAGATATAGACAATTTGATAGTCAAAGGTAGAGCTCCTTCACCACCACCTAAAAAATATCCTGTACTCCCAGAAATTGTCATTAAAGATGACGAGGGCCCTCCTGGAGAACCGCTCCATGCAGTATATGCTTTGAAAATCAACAATACAGTATTCTATAAACCTGTACCTGGACATTCTCTATTTCACGTACCGAAGTTCCAAGATGATGAAAATCATGAAAATTGCACTTCTTGGACCTATTACTTTAATGTTCCTGCTAAAAGAGCAGGAAGATGCAAGCTGAATATGCAAAATCTAGGTACAGTCACTATAAGGTACTGTTGGAAGAAAATAAAACGGATTATACCCTTCATACCCCAAGATGTATACGAACAAGTATTCTTTTTTAACAAAAATGAAGACCTAATATCTCCTGGCCAGACTAAAGAAATAGCTTTTACATTTATTGCTGACAAAGCTGGTATTTACTGTGAATTTTGGGAAATAAGTTTGTGTAATGTAAACTTTTTTGAGAACTCAAGTACAAAAATGACTGTCAGCTTATATGCTGATGCAGTTGAAGATATGGAGATGATAAATAAAAAAGTTCAACTTCTTAAAACAGAAATTAATAAAAAGGCGATTATTAACTTGGTAACTAGTTTTGTTGAGACAGCATTCGATAACGTTTTTCAACCAGATCCACAATTCGAACCATACCCGTATAAAAAATACTTTGTGGAGTCAGAACTCTTTGTTTTACGTAATCCAATGTGCTACTATCATCAGACAGAAGTAGGTAAAATGAAACAACTTTACACAGATATGCTTCCTGGTAAAGAATGGGACTTATCAATAGCTACTTGGAGAGAGGTGATGATGGCAAAAGATTACGAAGACAGAATGAAATATTATAAGTTGTTACGTGAATCGCACTCAGAGTGCTTGAAGCCTTGGGCAGCGGGCGATGGTGTTGAAAAAGAGAAGTTCCGGACAATAAATTGTTTGCTTGGTCAATTTCTTGATTTGTTTGATACAGAGTTTTCACGTGTAACAGATTGTTTTGTACTAAAGCCATCGGAAGCCAGATCATCATCGCGTATTAAGTCTAAAAGTAGAACTATTGCTGTCGATCCCATTACTGCCCAAATGGTGCGTAATGTTTTCTATTTGAGAATGTATGATCATTTCTCCTGTTTCATAGAGTTAAGCGCTGGAGTATTAAGCAGCTTAGATTTGAACAGATGGATCGAATTTGATTTCTGCCGACATCTTGATTAGCTGTTAACGATTTGCTAGAGCCATGTGGATAGTTAGAATTTGATTAATTCAGTTATCTTTAAACTTCTTTGTGTCTTTGTGAAAAACAATAAATGAAAACAATTAATCTTCATATTACTACTTTAATTTACTGAACAGCCGTATTTATTTCATCTCAATATGTGTTTTTAATATTAAAATAAATAGCACTAAATATATTTTTTATTTTATATAATTTATTTCGAAATGGGCATGCGTTTGGCCGCTATCACGCCTAGTGATAAGCAATAATGTGCCCTACTATGGATGCTATAAACAAACTATTCACTCGGGCCTTGCAGACACCCAGGTACAGCCGCTCATACCCTTCGGAGAACACAGACTCCGGCAAAGCATTCGACTCCTTAGCGGTTCGGGTTATAAAACTGGAGGCGAACCGCTTCGAAGCAGTTTTGACGATTGTCTGGTGGTACGATGGGAGAAAGGACTAGGAAATGTATCCGATAAAATATCGACAGGCTCGCATCTTTGCACCTGTGTTCGACGCTTTGAAGTCGGGCCTTTACTAGCGCATCGTTCTTGATGAGCCTTGGCACTTTTAGCCGAGCCGTCCCATAGATGAGAGCTGTACTCCATACAGGACCGGCAGGACTGGCTGCACGGTTGGTGCGATGGCTGGGCAGCTGGCTGCTGTGCAACGTGTAGCGTGTTCGATTCCCGCTCGGAACAACTCTGTGTGATCCACTTATTGTTGTTCCGGGCCTGGGTGAGATATGTATGTGATATTTTTTGTTTGTAAACGCACCCACCACATGAGAAAATCCTAATGATCCAACGTTTTTATTAAAAAAAAAAATGTATTTACTAGTTTTTAGCTAAATTAGTATGTACTTCCCTGTTAAATGGGCAAAACGGAGATGAATGTCAAACGTACGATATTGAACAGCTTTTCCAAAGATTTTATGATAACTTAATACTGTGGGATCCATAGTCTTAAGGCAGCGTTCAGCGCGGTGGTCGTGTCCCAGAGGGTCATGGCCATACGTAATATAATCATTGGCTATCGCACTATCTCTCGTATGAGGCGAATCTCCTTGCTGGATCACCACGATGGAATCTGAAGGCGAAGGCGCTCGCGCACGTCTACAGTTGGCTTCGCAATATCCATCACAGATGGGAATTTGAAATATCAAAAAAGTTGTAACAAGAAGTAAACAGGAAGAAAATGATCGCCTCATCTAACAAAAGGTTTTGTCGCCTCTGAGGCCAAGTTTTGTTCAAATTTTGAAACAGGATACGATTGTCTTAATGATATTGTTCTGTCTTCATATTCGTTTTGTAAATATTGATTTATGTTCAACAAAACTTCAAATGATTTAGTAAGTCAAATAATAAGGTGCCGACAAGAAGTACCAGTGAAACTTTACTACTACTTTCAACTTTCCAGTTATTTTGAATGTAATTATGATTAAACTAATGCTACCGTAATTAAGGGAGTTTTAAGACAGCTGGACATGGAACTATACATAATTAAGCATAATCAGGCATAATCTTGACAGACGTGACAACGATAGTTATGCTAGTTAAATCGTACTTTTTTTAACAAATACTCTTATAGTCTCTTATTACTTTTATGTAGACGTAGGTACTCCAGATTATAAAACTATATACGTGTTAATGTATTTTATATAATATCTAGTGCTTTGTATGAAGTAACTATACAGCTACTTTCACTTTTTTTCTTCTCATGAAGTTAGCGTTGTTTTTATTTTTTCACGAAATCTGCAAATTTTCCAATGCGAATGTATTAACTAGTTCTAAATCCGACTATGAGCTAGACCTTGTCTAAGTTTGCACAAGAACCCTAACTTGTGTACCTTCGATTCTAGTAGACTGCTTGTGTAATGCGTTTGGTTGACATTCGGAGCACGTAATCAAACTACTCCTGTATTATGCTGGTGTATCGATTATCGTCGACGGCCTAATATTTGTATTAGGCTCTCTACTGTTGCTTTACTTAATACAATCAGTATTCAATTAGTTTGCTGCCTATATTTAGCTGGTTCATCTAGAAAGTCTGCTCGTCAGGCATGTAAAAAGGATTCGATCGATTTTTGTTAATGTTAATATTTTCGGGAATATCTAATTGCTGTAAGTATAAAAAAGTGCGAGATGTGTCGTGAGTTTGAGTTTATGGAGTCGGGACGGATGCTACTGTAAGCATGAATCCGCAGACGGCGAGCAAGGGTAGCTCATCTCCCTACCAAAACGCTTTAAAGAGAACCAGTGCGCCTTAAAGAGCCAACAGAACATTACAGATGATGTTTAGCCGGAGCTGCCGGCTTAGTATCTTACGGCCTCTGTCCAAAGAGTCCTGTAGAGAATTTTTTACCTTAGCCAGTGTGAATAAAAGCGACTACTTCAAATTAGAATATTGCCATTGTTGATGAATTTGTGATTATAGAGGCTTTCGTAAGATGGCAAATAGATAAGAAAATTTGAAATATAAAACTAAAAAGAGTGATTAAATAAAACAACAATATTGTAACATAACAACTGTATATATAAAGTATTTCAGAGCTTCGACTTGACTTGCTTGACGTAAATGACGGAATGACCGGGTGGATGCCGCTGCGTTGGTCGCACGTTGCGTTCGATCGGTATACTGTCAGGGCCCTCCAGTTGTCTTAGGAGACCAAGCTGTTAATAAACAATAAATTATAGATGAGAAGGTCGCCAGAAATATTAAAAATTACTGTTTTTTGTTATGTGATAGGACGGATGAGAGAGGAGTAAAAGGTAGAAGTGTGGGAGAGCCATGCTTCGGCACGATTGGGTCGGTTCGACCAGTGTGATACCACGGCCTGACAGAAAACTGGCCTGAACAAACCAAAGTGGTGTGTTTCGCCGTGTGATTGAGGTTACCGGAGGCCCAAACCTTCCCCTCCACTATCCCTAAATCTCCCAAATCTATAATTCCCAAAACGTCGGCAACCCACTCGCAACTCCTATGTTGCGGGTGTTCATGGGCAGTGCTGATTGCTTACCATCAGGTAATCCGCCCGCTCGAACCGAAGCATGGCTCTCTCACAATTAGACAAATTTCCATAATCAGGGCAAAGCTGAGGTTACGTTTGCCATCTATTTTATTGTATAAATTCTTATTAATAAGGTGCCATCAAAAGCTCACAAAAACGGTGTCTAATGGTCGAATCAATCTTACCTGTTCAGTACCAATGTGCACGGGTTTCTCATATATGATCCAAGTGACGCACTCGGTGTACGGCGGTGTGGTTAGCGATCCTTTATATGTGACATAGTTGCCTTCTTGAAGGTCATCGCTGTCCATCCATGATAAGGATTCTGGAATTTAAAAAATCTAATTTGTTCAAATTGTAATTTCAAATGTACTTAAATTCAATGGACCACAGCAGACGGGGCCCTATAGGGCTGATGTTCAGCCGGAGTTGCGGGTTAAGCTCAATGAGTCATCTCGGCTCAGAACAGGAGAAGGAACGGGGGTTTTTAGTCAGTAAGAGTCTGACACTCTCTCTCGGCTAACCCTGGGGGATAAGTCATATGATGATTTTCCCCTGACAAAAAAAATGTAAGTACTTAAATTGGAAAAGAATACCTACGGTATGAAGTCAACCTCAGCTAAAGCATAAAGCATTAAATTAAATAAAACAAGAAAAAATGCAAAATTTATACGTACAAAGTTTGACAAATAAATGTGTCTGAACACTCTGAATGCTGTTTCAATTCTGGATTTGGACAAAAATCATTAATCGTCTTCAACAAGAAAACTAAAGTGCAAAAATTATAATCTAAGTGTGGGAGAGCCAAGGTTGGGCACGAATGGGTCGGCTCGACCGGAGTGATACCACGGCCTCACAGAAAACCGAGATGAAACAACTACAGAGTTGTGTTTCGCCGTGTGAGTGAGGTTACTGGAGGCCCAATCCTTCCCCTCCCCGATCCCTCCCAATCCCTAAATCTCTAAAACCCGTATCCCTAAAAGGTCTGCAACGCACTCGTTAAATATTAGTTAAACTAACAACTCTTCAAATAATAACAATAATATAAATAATTGTTTGATTACAATTTTCACGATTCCACTTCGAGACACTGAATAAAGGAAGTTTATAAATATTGACTAACAAATTCTATTTTTATCCTGCTCTTACATAATATGAAACAATCGATTCAAACAATGCTCCTTCAATTTTCCTCGTGTAATAACAACCCACATAAAACCCATTCTCATGTATGTTTTAATACGTGAAGAGAAAACTGTGTACACTCCTCAGAAGTATACAAATATGTACCTACATGAGAAACAATGAAGGTTGAATTTTATTTGGAATCGTGTAATATGAAAAATGTAAAATGCTGTGATAAAATATTTGAAAGAAGATTTTATAAGAATGCTAACAAAAGTTATAACACCATCATCTACGATAGTATAAAAATGTAGTATGTTTTGTATAAAACGATCAGATCGGTAAAAGACAAATTATTTTGTAAGAAATTTAAAATAGTATAGTATATGTCTTCTGTTGGTGTGAACATTGAAACTATGATCCTATGCCTTACTTATTTTTTATCACAATATTTCGAGTGACAATCCCATAACGTCCTACGAATGAAAAAGCAAAGATTACACCAGGACTATACATTTTTCCATCTCTTGCTCACTTTGTTATGCACAGTAAATGTCGAAAACTACATCTTTATGTTTTATTTTTTAAAGATAGAAAATCATATTTGCCTTGGCGTCCCCTTTACCCTCGATATAGGAAGATGGAGTGTCAGACTCTTACTGACTAAAAACCCCCGTTCCTTATCCTACCTAGGTCGAAGCCTTATTGCAAGTTACGTCTAAGACGTTTTGATAAGTCGGAAATAATAAGTAGTTAGCACCGCTGGTCAATCTGTTTCATTACTAACCTGAAGTAACTCTAACAGACTGTTCACTCTTCTTGATTCTTTCAAATCCTTCAACGAGCCTGTCGAACCTTGGATTAGGAGCATCGACTGCTTCTAGAAGGAATCCAACTACTGCAAGACCATCAGGATGTCCAACTGCTGCTTCCATTGATTCGTATTTACTGTTATAGTGTACGAAATGGCATTCTGCTGCGTATCTGTTGAAAAGAAATTAAATGTCGTTATCAATATACATTACAATTTTGATTGCACCTGCATCAAAAATATTTGGTAAAGAACATAAAAGACTAATTTTCCTTTTCCAAGAAATCATCGCCTTGAAAGGGTACTCTAAGTAAGCATTGGTCCAAATATGCAAATTGAATATCAGTTTTTATGGGAAAGGAAGCAAATGAGTAGACGTGTCTCCATAATATGGTAAATGACCTGCATTGTCCGTGGACATCTGCAATACCAGGAAGAGAAACAGGTGCGTTGCCCGCCTTTCAAAAGGGAATACGCTCTTATTTTGAAAGTTTGAAGGTCATATCAGTGTTCTAAG